GAAACAGTTCTAATACAAAAACATTACCTTAAAAAGAACATCAAAGCATACAAACTAATCTAACGAGAGAAAAGCATCGAGGTATTTTCCTTTGATAAAATCCTTAAACTGTGCAAGAGATTCTTCGGTTGCCGCATGCTTAAGAATGCGTCTAGCTCAACCGTCTTTTCTCCGAGTTTTTCTTCTAAACTCTGAACCTCTTCAACGAGTTCGGGATCTCTCGGAAACGTAGTAAAAGTATCCCCATCACTACAAGCAAGATTGCCTAAACCATCTTGTTTAAGAGGAATTTTCTGTCAAAAACACAAAGTTAAGTTGTATATATAAATGAGGATTAAAATGTAAATTTCTTAAGAAATAAACGAACCTCAAGGACTATTTTATTGATCTCATCGAAGGTCAGGTTGTGTCAGTCTTTCTTCCTTTTTCTTCTCCACCTTCTCGAGGCGTTGCGCAATCTCCAGATAGTCGATGCTGTTGGTTGTTTTGTTGGTGTCGTCATCTTTAATAAAGTTTCGAAATTTGGACGAACACCTTCGTATTGTTTTGCCTGTCCAAAAATTAAAACATGATAATTAAATGATAAAATATTAGAAAAAAATTCAAACCAACAAACATACCATCTTAGCTTCGCGACTTCTGATGCTCGTCGCTCCGGAGTTGTAGTAAGCTTTCGACCCGGTTGTTGTACAAGCTCCCCAACAGATAAGTGGTGATGTGCTGGAGAAGTTTGTGATTCCGGAACACGAGATTGGGTTGAATCTGGGCTGGTTTCATCATCACCCATCCGTCGATTAACTCCCGAACCTCCAAGTGAACGAAAACCAGAGAGAGACCTACAAAAACAAGTAAAATATACAAAACGTGTTGGAAAAAGGTGACTATATGTATAAACTGTGAAAAACGTTTATAAGAAAAAAACATTTGAATATTCGATAATTAAATCAGAATTAGTACATAACACCAGGATAAATAAATATATATACACGTTTTAAGAGGCTTGTTAAAGAAAAAAACGTTTCAAGAGATAAACGTGTTTTAATCATAAGAGCAAGAGATATAACCCTATCTTAACAACCCAATCTAACCACAAATTCGGAATCTACCTCAAAATAACAATATAATCTTAACCACAAACTTTCATAAACCTATAATCTATCTATCTAATATGATTAACCATTCAAAGTTACATGATTTCGGCAAGAAAGGAAGGGAGAAGGCGGAGACGCTTCCGTTTTTAGGGGTTA